TACTCGACATTTACATGAAAATATGAACGATGCGATACAGCGAAAGCTAAATACTCTTGATGTCCACTTTTCACACTGAACCCATTTTCGCAGAAACAATAGCAATTACGGTAAAATTGTCCCTGTGCTTAACTAATTAAGCACTACGCCATGAAGGCGTATAGAGGAGTGGACGTATACCTCAATATTTTCTTGGCCTCGGCACTAGTTTCAGGTGAGTAGACAGCTTCACGCCCCGGCCGCTTTACCCCCGGGAAAAGAACCCCAGGTACCCATTGGACATGAAGTTTGTTGGACTCCAGAACCGGTGTGGACGACGTGGAGAAGAGAAAATTCTTAACCCTACCGGGTCTCGAATCTGAACTCTCGGTCGTCCAGCCCGTAGCCAGTCGCTATACGGACTGCGCTATCTCAGCTCCTAGACACAACAGCAAGTTAATGTATTAAATTGTTTTTAAACGTCAATTACACACAAACGCAAAGCATGAAGAAGATTATTTCGTCCTGGGATAGAAGTGCTTTGCGTCTGTAAATACTTGCACCTTTCCTTCTTACTTAAAATTGACTTCTGAAGCCGGAGGGACTGGTTTTATTTATTACAAAATCATTATGAAGCAGCACATTACGGTAAGAACTTCACGTTAATTTAAATATAGGCAGAGATGAATATCTTATTGATTGCTTTTCCTTCCAAGCACCTTGCGGTATGTATTATCAGTGTTATAGCAAGTGTCACGTGACTTCGAACAAGGCCAAGAGTAGCCTTGAATGCGAAGAAGAAAAATTTCAGACAAGGGGATGGGTTCGAGGGTGTGAGAAGTGACAGGCGGCCAGTTGTGTAACGTCCCGTTTCTCTTTCAGATTATCAACCCAAGTGACTTTCCACCTTCTAGGAGAACTCTGTGAGATATTCTGTAGGTACTGCCTCACGCCAGACCGTCCCCCGTTTTACCCGTGGCCGAAGGAAGTTCAATTACGTAACCGCATTTCCTGTGAGGTTGTGCGGAGTTGAGCGAATCCACTTCCTTGCGGGATACCTGCTCAGCTACATATTAGCTTCATGTACCGTCATTTCCACGTCCCCTTTACAGTTCCGCAGGAAGGTAACAAGTTTCCAGGGTATCGAGAAGTTAGCGCTCCTTTCTTGTGCAAGAAACTTCTACTCGTGTCTTTTGCATACGGGATGGATATCCTTCAAACGTTCCTGCAAGTAACCGCTACACTTGCTACTGTGTTAGACCGAAGTGGTCACAGAAGAGGAATTATTACCATTTTTATTTAGCTAGGCGCCAGAAAGTTGCGGGTTCGAGTCCCAATGAGATGGATTTTTTTTTAGTTTGCTTAATCCTTCCAGCCGCATTATGGCCCTGGGGTCGACTCAACCTCTAACAGAAATGAGTATCAGGAATCTTCCCTGGGGGTAAAGGGAAACCGTCACGGAAGGCTGACAAGCTTACCGTCGTCTGTGAGCCGATTGTATAGAGAATTGAAGGTGTTTCAGTGGATGAATGTCATTGCGCGTTGCTAGGCAACAGCTCGCCAATGAAGACGCTCACTAGGAATCAAGGGACTTGTGTCTGTGTGTTCTTCCTTAGACAACAATAGAACTGTGCTTTTTGTGCGTGGTCCGTGCCGTAAGCTTATAAGAGAAGTGAATGCAGGGACAGAAAGTCAGTCATAAGGTGGAGGAACGAATTGGGCTAGGAGTGCAGGAGAGTACAGAAGACCGGTCTCTGGAGATTTAACGTATGGGTTGAAGGCTTTATGTGTGCTGCAGTGCAGTGGTTTTGGCAGCGTGTAGTTTAGTTCCTTTGCTATAAACCCGTGAAGACTAGTGCAGATAGACTGAAGAGATTAGTATGGAGTATTTTGGAATGTGAAAAATCAGTAACAATGTTATAATTAATTGTAGTTACGACCTGTAAGTGGTAAATAAAAGCAATTACCAATCTGAGCGCTGTCTCCAGTCACCCAAACACGTGGCAATATTGCGTCAGTCTTCATGACACACTGGATTTCACATAATTTCTGCAGATTATAATTTAATAAAGTAACTGAATAATTAAAAAGAAAAATATAAATTCACTTTAACCCTTTTCTTTGGACGACATTTGCAGGAACCGAAACCTCCAGGCACGGCGTGGAGGTCCCCTTCCGTACCAGTGAGTGACTCAGTCCCGACAATTTTAAAATATCGCTGTGATTGCCACGTCATCAAATAAATTGACCTTGAAGCTGATTATTGTACTCGTCCTGACCTTCGAAAATCACTTTTCTGTGCAAGGTCATCCGAGTACGGCAGTTATTCAAACAGCGGGAATTTCATCTTGTGGCGTGTCATATGAAGATATGTAAATGAGATCATACTTCTGTTGCCTTCATTTCCGGACTAATTTTCTTTTTAGTGAAACAGCCCGGGCCAGGACAATTTTCCATTAAGACTAGATTCGAACCGGGTACCTTCTGAATACAAGTCAGAAGCCTTATTCGCTTGACCCAACTTGCCCGAAGGGAGGAAGGTTACGTGACTTGTGTTCTGTATACGGTTCGTGATATACTCGTAAATTTTCGAAATCAAACTATTGAAGCTCTACGGACTAAACCAATCTTCTCCCATCCCAAACATCCCCCCACCCGGCGGGTTGTCAGCAATCCAGATTCAATTTTTCTTTCCTTGTTGGTTTCCAGTCATGATTTAGTAAGCATCCACGTTGAACATTTCATGTGTTGAGTTCGCAGTTTCAAGTGGCAAAAGCTAAAACAGCAACCATCATTTCCAGAACTTGGATATTGATGTAGCTGGCCTTTTCGCTGCTTTTAAACTGACTCGGGCTGTGCGCCATAGGTCTACTTGCGAACGTCAATATGTTCTAGGGAGGACACAGAAGTGCACAATATTCAAGGGCATTTCAATTTCTTCATAGGAATAACTGGTGTGTTAGTGTGACTGGACATGGTGATTCGACAAATAAAATATGGTTTTATAGACGCTTAATGCAATCTTGGCTGCCAGTTCTAATAATATCGGAAGATACAAAAACTAGTTCCAAAGCCTTCCAAGTTTTCTTGCGTAATTGTGCATTCGCTTCCCAAATTATCTCTTTCAAGTCACAGCTTTCATTTCGTAGATGGAAGACTTGTTTTGTATGATCTCTAGCATAACTCACTTAAAGGTCAATCTGATTTGCGTCTGGGATAGATCTTCATAAATCAACTGCTCTTCCAGGAAACGTTTACATTTCCATACAACTCAGGCCTTAATTTGCAGTGAAAGTAGAACTTGGGTCAGGCTGTCAAAACGAGGGACCACGGAAGGCTACGTAAGAAGTTCAAAAGTACAAGAATTGAAGACTTTCTTCCGAAACTTTGGTTAACACAATATCTACACGGAGCGACATCCTATAAGACGGCATTCTTCGTGGTAAACGCCGTGAAAACCTCAAATCTTACGTTTAGGAATTGATCAGTACTGGTATATCGTAAATATGTCCGTGCACTACTCAGTTGCGAAAAAGTTGTTTAAATAAGTGAGGAGACAGTAAGAGTGCGCTGATGAGTGGTTGTATTCCGTAGTCACCCGCTTATAAACTCGGCTATGGTACCGGCTCCCCTCTGTTGACTCGGGTTTTAATTACTTTTGCTTCAGTCTTCCCAGTGGATTTTCCTTGGCAGTACAGCCCCAGTGGGCCTAGGCCTACCTCCATGAACTTCTCCGTTCACTTCGGTTCTTCTAGATCTTACACATTCGGTAGGACTCCTTGGGCGGGTGATCAGTTCGTCGCAAGGCCTCTACCTGTACTCAAACACAGAAAAACGCACACACACAAATTAACATCCATACCCTGAGTGGGATTCGAACCACGATCTCGGTTTCAAAGCGAGCGAAGACAGTACATGCCTTAGACCGCTCGGCTACCGTGACCGGCTTCCAAATGAGTACTCTGGTAAATTTAAAGTTCGCCCCTGTGCTTAGCGAATTGAGCATTATGACATGAAGGCGTATGGGGGAGTGGATATATAGAACCATGTTTTCTTGACCTCGGCACTAGTTGGAGGTAAGTGGTCAGCTTCAAGCCCAAGTCGCTTTATCCCCATAGAAAGAGCCCCCAGTACCGACTGGATAGGAGGTTGGGTAGAACCAAGAGCCGGTTTGGACTACTTGGAGAAGAGAAAATTTTTAATCATACCGGGACTCGAAATTCGGCCACTCCACAATCTCATTGACTTCAAAATCCCATTCCCTTCACGATGCCATTGCCTTCACGATCCCATTGACTCCACGATCCCATTGTCTTCATGATTCACTATCAAATTTTTGTCATAATCCCAATACTTCTCTTCTAATCGAAGTCACGTAGAAATTACCTTGCTTGAACTCAGCTCGTCGCACATTTTCAAGTGCCTGAAACTATCTCAGGGAGTTTTCTGCTGCCGTGCTAAATTTAGTAGCAGTGAAAAAATATATAGAAAAAACAAACACTCGTTCTTCTTTACATAAGGAAAAGAGATCAAGAACATTCAGCGATACGCAGAATGTAATATAATTGAGCTAGGTATGTTGTACAGTCTTAGTTTTGAGTAAAGCAGTGTAAGTGAAACTGTATTATTTTACAGTACATTATTATAAGTTCACAGTGACTTTTTGATGGATATTTATGCGTTTAAATATAAAATATTCTAACAGTATAAAGAGCAGTGAATTTCAGAGAATACTCTCAAAAAGATTTTATTTTTTTACTAAAAAGAATGTAAGCACCATAAGTAGAAATGATCCTCTTGACTTCTGAATACATTTTCCAAATATTCAATTACAAGTTCGTACTTATCCTGCTGCAATGCCTGAAAGCACGATTCGAATTCAAATAAAGCTACGGAAAAGAATTTTATCATCTTCAGAACATAAATATTGCTGTTTCTGCATGGATGTTGAAGAGAAACCTTTTAGTTTTACATGAAGACGTTCATATTTTTTCTACGATTACGTAAACATTTGTTTACAGAGTATGGGGACAAACGCCAGAAGCATCAGCCAGAATAGACGGTCTCCCGGTTGAGAGTCATGCCCAGGATCTCCCCAATAAGAAGCGACACGACACCGTTACTGTTGGTGAGCTCCTTGCTCAGGTGAGTTGCTGATATATCAGCAATGAGAACGCTCTTGTTGACGGTGTTGTGGCTCACTGGCGCACCACACAGCGCATCTCTCATATGGCGAAAGAAATTGCTCTGCATTATTTGTGATGGCATGTAAAAACGAAGTTCCTATTGGTCGAATTTTCGAAACTCCTACTTCAGTTAGTGATCCCTAAAGACATACTGTTCCGTTTGGTGGTATAGTAACAATTTTATATAATCTGTTGACTTGCACAGAACTTTTATTTAGAATATGAGAGTGAAGTAACGTACGAATATTTCAGGCCTCCCTTTTGTGCTTCAGTTCTGCGACGTGAGTAGAAAGTCAAGGCAAATAATCGTGGATGAGAAATAACAAAGAGACAGGAATGGAAAATGATAAAAGAGAAGAAAGGTGGATAAAAGGAAAAAAAAGAGCAAAGAAGTAATACAAACAAAGTTACAAAACGAAAGAACTCCGTGGCTCTTAGTCCGCAAGCGAACTATACCGACCGAGCCACCGCCGCTTGTCGGCGAAGTTAGTGTCAACTTCAGCTGATAGAGGTCGTCGCGTGGTCAGCATAACGAATCCCCACGGCCGTTAATTTCGGTTTTCTAGACCGGAGCAGCTACTATTCCATTCAAGCAGCTCCTCAATTATCCTCACGAGGATGAGTGGACCCCGTTCCAGACCCACAACTTCTCAGAAAAGCTGGTAGCGCCGGTAATAGAACCCGGACCTCTGGATCTGTAGACAGGAACGCTCAGCCTTAGACCACAGAGGCGGTCCAAATAAAGTTACCGCCCTAGAAATTTATAAAACGGAAGAGTATAACAATTGTTTTAAGAAGATATGCGCATGCGCGATTCGATAGCCTTTACTGCAGAAGAAATGATTGGAAATGCAGGACACTCTTTTAGCCGAGGTGAATGCATGGCCATATAGGCTCACCGACTCTGTGTCAACTTCTCTTGAGACGTTCCTTAGGACAGCAAATATACGGTCTGAGAGACGCCTACCTCTTACAGCTACCCCAAACAATGCGCCATTGCTACGTCTCCGGTCAGCGGGAGGCTCTGCAGAGATACATGACATAACTACATGAACAGCAAGAGGAATGGATAGAAGAGAAATATGACTAAGTTTTGATATATTAGAGCTGGTTCTATTATGTAGCTCTCATATTTCATACTCCCCTCGTACGAATGAATAGTTTGTCTTGAAAGGGTGAACTAGAAGCATCTGTATTTTGAGAGAACTAGGTTTACTTTTCTTTAAATTAAGTAAAATTCAGGAAAAGTTCGTTACATGTTTTGAGATAACTAAAATATATGAGAAATAGTGCAGCCGCTTGCCATATTCTCGTAACAACACAGTACTCCACTATCAATGCTTGAAGTTATGCGCAGCAGGTCATGAGGCTCCGTTCTCTTACCCCACTGAGATTCTGGGTGAACAAAAATGCAGTTCATATATAAAGTTCCTTTAGAACCGAATTTGTGTCACTTTACAATGTAGCTTTTCCGACTGGAGTCGCAGTTGAATGATAGACTCTCCTGCTACGTATTCTGATGGTCAAGAAGTCAAGGTTTCCCACAGTCACATCATACAAGCGCCACACCACATCCCTCCATATTTTTTTCCTTGGCACTACAGCCCCAGTGGACCTAGGCCTGCCTCCATGAACTTCTCCGTTCACTTCGGTTTTTCTAGATCTTACACATTCGGTAGGACTCCTTGGGCGGGTGATCAGCTCGTCGCAAGGCCTCTACCTGTACACAAACACAAAAAAACGCACATACATACACAAACTAAACATCCATGCCCTGAGTGGGATTCGAACCCAGGATCCAGGTTTCCAAGCGAGCGAAGACAGTGCATACCTTAGACCGCTCAGCTACCGTGACCGGCCATCCCTCCATATACTTACCAATTTATTACTCACTACAATCTTCGCCTTTGCCAATGTTGATGCTAAAAAGAAATCTCTTGTAAACTCTTGTTTAATCTACAACTTGACTTCCATAGTAGTCCCTCCCTTTCAGCTTTCAAGACAAAAAATTTGTATGCATTTCTCATATTTCCCTTGGGTGACAAATTCCTCGTCCATCTCATTCTCCTTCCTTTCATCACTCTAATATAATTACGTGTAGCTCAGTATGTACGTTCTTCCTCCCATTGCCCTGTTACTTCCTCCTTCTTACATCGAAATGTTTCTTAGACACCCTGTGTTTTAAAAACAGACCCGTAAAATTGTGCGCTATTGGCTACTTCCATTAAGATATATTATTAATACAGCAATATCTTGGGTCTCTCTCTCTCTCTTTCTTTCTACATTGCCGTAGGTACGAGATCGCTCTTTCAATTTGGTGGGGTGGGGGGTTAGATCCGCTACCAGTTTCGTATGCATATAAATTAACTTTCCCCCTCACCCTTGAACGAAATGGAGTTAACAGAGAACATCAACAGATACGGTTACAGAAATTAACTGGACCCGTTGTTCGTTCAATGCATGTCAATGCTCCTGTCTGGCCCTGAGCCATTTTAATTTGATTTGTGCATTCACTAACTGCTAGACTAATAAGTAATGACAGCAGATCAGCAAACTGCACAAAATTACGAGTAAGCCGTGACACATTTTCCAATAAATAGAAATACAATTTAAAATACATTGTAGCTCTTCCCCGGGCTCTGTGATCCATACATCTACCCTTTTCTACATGCATTCTACTGATCCACTGATGGGCGAGATAGGGAAAGTGGGCCTGTTATACCTACTTGCTAATTCAGTCGCGATAGATATGCAATTGCATAAGCGCCATTATGTTGGTTCGTACTCTAGTGCTGAGGTGGTGAATCTTTTCCCTTCCTCGTTTATTTGCATGACTGTACCACGACTTTTAATTGCCTCTTGTATCTATCCATTTATTCAGATATCAATAATTTACGTTGGCGAGTTCGTGGTCTGAACTACCATTCCTTCTGGTCTCGGGTTCAGGGCTAGCCGGCTACAGTGAGGACTTCCTCTCCACATGGCCTCCCCTTTCATAACCTTGCACAGAATAAAAAATTTCAGGAAGTCAAGTTCCCGCTTTGATTTGTAGCCCACGTAAAGCTTTGGCTTTCCCCTACCATTTGTCAACTTCGAGACGTAACTCGAAATCCAAGATGGTTTTATATTCCCGTAAAAATTATTGGTTCTACCTTTTGCCCCTGTCTAACGGACTATAGTAAGCATTGTCGAAGACAATACTTAGAGACATAAGCTACATTACAACATTAAAATATATGTCTATACACTCAATTAAAATTGCTTATATCTGAGATCATTACACAAATAATGGTAGTTGAGTGGAACAAGAAAATAATAAATAGACATAAACAAAGAAAACTTAAAAAATGAATGAAAAATCGTGACATAAGTTTTCGTTCACCCTACATATATTAGTTTAACAAGCTCTACAGTTGTAATTCTGGATCTAGTGAAAGTTACAAATAGTAAATATTGTTAACTAGAAAACTGGGATGAACACATTTCTGTCTTTATGGGTTTACAAAACTAGAGAGAGATTACCATGCAAAAAACGTTAAACGTTCAAATGATAATTAAAAAGTTCTTCGTTTTGTTTGTGTGCGTATATGATATAATATTTGATTTATTTTCCTTTTATGGTAAATACGAAGTTGATTGAAATGATTAATTAACCTAACGATGTTAAGGAGTGAGTGAAATGAATTTAAACGATTTTAAACAAAATCAGAGCAAGATCATTATGATTCACCAATCAAAACAAAGTAAAAATTACGCCCAAAGAGAGCCCATTAACTGATGATGGTTGATTTTATTTGCAAATGATAAACTGGGAAAATATATGGAATAAGCAATTGCACAATATTCTTGAAATGTTACTAAATATTCTGTAATTGACAATTAGTTATAGATAATTGAACAATACTCTTTCAGTAATACCTATAGCCTCGATCCGTATGTGTCACGGGGGATAAATGTTGTGTAATTAGCTGTATGGAAGTCAACAATAAATTTCATAAAGATTATTCATATTTTTTTAAGATATAATTTGTACTTCTTGTTGCTTGTTTTGGACTTTATCCATCATCTGGTATGTAAAAGACAAAAGACCACGACGTTTCGGAGACTGGATCTGTCTCCGTCTTCAGGTGGATGGGGAAGGATAAACCTACTCAGTTGGGCCCGTTAGAAAGAGCTAGTCTCAATCACTGGACCAGTGACAGATCCAGTCTCCGAAACGTCGTGGTCTTTTGTCTTTTACATACCAGACGATGGATGAAGTCCAAAACAAGCCAAAATAAGTACAGTATACACCATCGTCAGAATCCTTTCAAGTCTATCCAAGATATAATTTGTCTCTTTTATATTTTATTACTACGATTCAACTGCTTGGGTTATTGAATAACGTTGATTGAGGCAGGAAGGTGACTGGGCGATTGTTAAATTGCTTCAAAATACTATCCAAACATTCGCTTGAATGCAAGTCAATAGCTGGGCAGAAATTTGAACCTCCTCCCCAACCCCCACTCCACCCGCAACACATGCCAAACCACACCACTCCGTATCGGTAATTCATGATGGATGGCAGGACGATTATGAATTCCGAGTACAGATTGAAAGAAGAGGCCATAACCCAAACGTTACAGTGCTATATCCAAATATGAGTCTGAGTAAACCCAAGATCTTATGATAGTCCTTAGCCAGAGAGGGATTCGAGTTGCTAGATACGGACTGCGAAGCAGCGTGGTTATGAACGGTAAAGGACATGGTCCTACTGCAGACTGCTATGTGCTGTGTGATAACTTTGCTTCTCTCTACCCGAGAGTGAGAATCCTGCGCTGAAAATATGGCATCAGACTCAACCCGGAAACTTTCTGAAATTCGCTGCTTGTAGTGATGCTCGGTTATCTGCGCATGACATTTTATAGTGTACTCGTACACGAACTGATGGGTGGTAAACTGCCAGTTGTAAAGTATTTT